AAACTGATTAAGTGCTATTTTTTTTTTTTTAAGTCTGTCTTGCTGAAACCAGTTTGGCTCAGTGGATAGAGCATCAGCCTGTGGACTGAAGGGTCCAGAGTTCGATTCTGGTCAAGGGCATGTACCTTGGTTGCGGGCACATCCCCAGTAGGAGGTGTGCAAGAGGCAGCTGGTCGATGATTCTCTCTCATCTATGTTTCTAACTCTCTATCCCTCTCTCTTCCTCTCTGTAAAAAATCAATAAAAAATATTTTTTTTCAAAAAGTCTGTCTTTTCCCTACTGCATTGTATTGTTGCCTTTGCATATAGTATAGTTGTCTAGAAAAGTGTGGATTTGTTTCAGGAATACATAATCTATTCCTTTTGTCTCTCTGCAGAAATATTACACTGTCTCAATTTCTATGACAGCTTTATACTAAATCTTTTTTTTTTTTTTCTGAGCACAAGTTTATTCAACACAAAATAATCTGTCCAACTTTACTTGACCACGTCCACGACCAAATCCGCCTTTAAACTGGAATTCGGTTGCTGACCCGGCCTCAGCTTTCTTGTCAGCACCAGGGGGCACAGCACTCCATCTGTAGGTGTCTCTGTCGGCTTCCCCTCATGTGAGTCTTGCAGGTCGCTCGCCCTCCAGAACTTTGGGCATTGGGCAGCCAGTCTCAGGCCAGCTGTGGCGCAACGTGGCAGGCACGATCTCAGGGGGCAGGTGGAGGTAATCGCGGAGGGACTGGATGCCCTCGTTGGTCAGGTACCAGTAGAAGTGTCTCCAGGCAAACTGCTCCTTCACGTAGCCCCGGGACTTGAGAGAGTGCATGGCTTCATGACGTGGAGATTGGGCACGTTCTTGTCCGCCAGCTCGGGGTGTTTCGGCATGTGCACGTCCTTCTTGGCCACCATCACTCCCTCCTTAAAGAGGAGCTCATACAATAGATGGCGATCCGGTTCTTCTTGGGCATCAACATTACTCAGGAATGAGCGAGCGTGCAGTGGGATAGGGGTCCCCTCGCTCCAACTCTGGGGAAGCGCAGTGACTACTGCGGCGACATGGCCAGGATGGAGGCCCATAGGAGCCCGCATTCCACAGGAACTCACCTCCTATACTAAATCTTGTTATCTGAGAGAAAACGTTTTCCTTCCCATAATGTCCTTCAAGATTATCTTGGTTTATCTTGGTCCTTTGCATATTCATATAATTTTAGCATCAACTTGCCAAATGCAACAAAATTTTCCTTATAAACTTTAGAAGCAGCTAGGATTTTGTTTAGTATGCACTAAAGCTGTAGACGTGTTTTGGAGAATTAGCATTTGTTATTCATTGTGTTGAATCATGTCCTCCAAAAAGATATGTTGCAGCCGAGACCGGTTTGGCTCAATGGATAGAGCGTTGGCTTGGGGACTGAAGGGTCCCGGGTTCGATTCCGGTCAAGGGCATGTACCTTGGTTGCGGGCATATCCCCAATAGGGGGTGTGCAAGAGGCAGCTGATGGATGACTCTCTCTCATCGATGTTTCTAACTATCTCTCTCCCTTCCTCTCTGTACAAAATCAATAAAATATATTTAAAAAAAAAAAAAAAAGATATGTTGCCGTCTTAATCCTGAAAATGTGGCTTTATTTGGAAACTAGAGGCCCAGTGCATAATATTCATGCATGAGTGCAGTCTCTAGGTGGAGCTAGCAATCAAAGCATGAGCATCTGGCGTGGAAGGGCAGGTCCCAGCTGACCTCTGGGCCCTGGGCAGCAACTGGGCCTCCTGGACCCCACGTGCCATCATACGCCTGAGTCACAGCGCCAGAGTCCCCAAGGGTGGTCCAGAGCTCAACGTGGGCCTCTGGGCCACCCAACAGTACTGCACAGACACTGGGTGGGCAGCACACTCTCTCCTGGCCAGACTCACAAACTGGCTCCTGCACAAATCCACAGGGAGCCTGACTGGCCTCTGCGGTCTCAGCAGCTACAGCCTGGCTCACCCGGAAGAGGTTGCACAGGTGTGGGGCAGGCTTTCTCTCTCTCTCTCCCCCTGGTGGGCAGGCCTATCCACTGAGCCAAACCGATTTCGGCTTGAGTTCTTTTTTAAAAATATTTTAATGATTTCAGAGAGGAAGGGAGAGGGAGAGAGAGAGAGAAACATCAATGATGAGCCGAAACTTGTTTGGCTCAGTGGATAAACGTCGGCCTGCAAACTGAAAGGTCCCGGGTTCAATTCCACTCAAGGGCATGTACCTTGGTTGCAGGCATATCCCCAGTGGGGGGGGTGTACAAGAGGCAGCTGATCAATGATTCTCTCTCATCAATGTTTCTAACTCTCTATCCCTCTCTCTTCCTTTCTATAAAAAATCAATAAAATAGCCGAAATCGGTTTGGCTCAGTGGTAGAGCGTCGGTCTGCGGACTGAAAGGTCCCAGGTTCGATTCCGGTCAAGGGCATGTATCTGGGTTGCAGGCACATCCCCAGTTAGAGGGTGTGCAAGAGGCAGCTGGTCGATGTTTCTCGCTCATCGACGTTTCTAGCTCTCTATCTCTCTCCCTTTCTCTCTGTAAAGAAATCAATAATATATATATTTTTTTAAAAATTATTTAAATCAATAAAATATATATTAAAAAAATAAGAATAAAAGTTGATGAGGCCTTAGGAACTTAACATTTGTTTATACCAATTAGGTTAAGGTAAAATTGAGTTCATTATACTTCATTTCACTTAAAGTTGCTGAACCTATTGATGATATTGAGGAATAACTGTATTCAACATCACCAAAAGGTTTGAATTTGAGGTTAATTAACTGTAGAAGATGTTTATGGACTACAGCAGCAGGGATCAGGAGGCCCTTTTGGCATGAACATCCCATTCACAAGGGGCCTCATATTTAGACTAAATAATATCTCAAGTAGTATGGTCAAAGATAGGATTGCAATAAATCCACTCAACTTTATATATTGTATAGTCCTATTATGACTTAAGGAATAGCACATTTTTTGATTCTATACTTTTTATGTATTGATGGTGTTTAAATCCTTAAATAGCATTTAAAATCTACCATAATCTCACTTATGTGTGGAATGTAATCAACAAGATAAACTGACAAACAAAATGGAGAGAGACATGGAAGCACAGCAAAGACTGAGGCATCTCAGAGAAAAGAGGAGAGAACTTTTGGCATCTCTATATATAAAAGCCTAATATGCAAAGTGTCCCCTTGGGAGTTCAATCAACAGGGGTCTGATTGCTCACTATGATGTGCACTGACCACCAGGGGGTGAGGCTGAACGTAGGAAGGCCCCAGCTGACAGCTGGCAGCCAGTAGGGACCTTACCTGTCCAGAATTTGTGCACTGGGCCTCTACCCTGTTTCCCCAAAAATAAGACAGTGTCTTATATTAATTTCTGCTCCCAAAGATGCGCTAGGTCTTATTTTCAGGGGATGTCTTATTTTTCCATGAAGAAGGATACAGTACACATTTATTGTTAAATGAAAATAAAGGAAATTTATCACCTATATACGGTACAGTAGTATGGTAGTTGTCAACACAAACCAGACAAACTGTGAATCCTACAGTATCAAGAATTTACTCATTGATTCAATGACAATCATGTCATCATCTTCTGGAACATCATCATGACAATCCAATTCCTGAATTTCCTGGTGAATTTCTTGTGACTCCATCTCTTTCAGAATCTGTGGACCAAATATCTCATGTTTAGCCTAAGGGGGTGGGGGCTTATTTTAGGGAGATGCCTTATATTTCACTCAGAAGGAAACCTGTAAGTAGATCTTATTTTCGGAGGATGTCTTATTTTCAGAGAAACACGGTAGTATATGCATAATCCCTGGACACAGATAATGGTATAGTGAAGGGGGGGGGGGGCGGGAACCGGTGGGGGGAGTCATTAGGGGAAAAAAGGGGCACATCTATAATACTTTCAACAATAAAGGTATATTTTTAAAAAGTAAAATCTACCATCACTTTTGCCACACTGTTTTGGAATTATTTTAATTTTTAAAATACTCAGAGCTCCCCCAAATGGGAGAAGCCTGAACCCCCTCTCTATCTCTGCTAATAATTGATTTTACTGGAAATTTACTCTGTATCCAGCTCTTGACTAACATCGCCTTTCTTTTTTTTTTTTTTTTTTTTTTTTTGTATATATATATTTTACTGATTTTTTTACAGAGAGGAAGGGAGAGGGATAGAGAGTTAGAAACATTGATGAGAGAGAAACATCAATCAGCTTCCTCCTGCACACCCCCTACTGGGTATGTGCCCTTGACGGGAATCAAACCTGGGACCCTTGAGTCCTTAGGCTTAAGAAAGTTGCCAATAGAGTCATCTCTCGAACTCAGGAAATCTAATGGCCACGCCTGAGCTCTTGTCTGAGCCAATACCCGCTGCCTCAGCCTTTAAGGGTGCAGACTTGGCTGCCATCTACCATGTTTCCCCAAAAATAAGGTATCCTCCGAAAATAAGACCTACTTACAGCTTTCCTTCTGAGTGAAATATAAGGCATCTCCCTAAAATAAGCCCCTCCCTCCCCAGGCTAAACATGAGAGATTTGGTCCACAGATTCTGAAAGAAATGGAGTCACAAGAAATTCACCAGGAAATTCAGGAATTGGATTGTCATGATGATGTTCCAGAAGATGATGACATGATTGTCATTGAATCAATGAGTACATTCTTGATACTGTAGGATTCACAGTTTGTCTGGTTTGTGTTGACAACTACCATACTACTGTACCGTATATAGGTGATAAATTTCCTTTATTTTCATTTAACAATAAATGTGTACTGTATCCTTCTTCATGGAAAAATAAGACATCCCCTGAAAATAAGACCTAGCGCATCTTTGGGAGCAAAAATTAATATAAGACACTGTCTTATTTTCGGGGAAACAGGGTAGATGAGGCTGCAAGGGTTAAGGCCCCTGGAGGCCTGCGGGCTCTCCCTGCCCCTCACCCACCGCAGGCCGTAGCCCTTGCCCACCCGGGGGCCGGCGGTTGGCTCTGCTGCGCATGCTCGGCCGCAAAGCACGGCGGGAAAGGGGCTGGGCCTGTGCGACCTTTCGGTCCCTGCGTAGTGGCCGTGAGAAACCTCCCCTGGCGAGCAGCCTGGAGAGAAACCCGTAAGCCTCCGTGCGTGGCCCTGGGGCCGGTCTTTACGTCTGTGCCTGGCAGATGGACAGAGAGTTTCGCCTGTGGACGGGAGGGAGGAGGGAGGTCTTGTTGGGCCGAGTTTCTGGAGACTCCGCGGTGGCGGTGCGTGCGGGCTCCGGCCGAGGGGCGCCGGGGGTCGGGAGCCGAGGCCCCTGGCTTGTGGTCGCGTTCTCATTGGCAAACTGAGGCCTCACTGACGGGCAGGCTGGTGCTCACCGAGCCGGAGGGCTGTTGCCCCTCGGCCCCGGCGTCTGTGTCGCGGTCGGGCCCTCAGCCTTCGGTGTCTCTGCGGCTTCCGTTTCTAAGACGTTCGTAGCGTCTCCTTCATTCAGCGGTCAGTGGTTTCAGCCTTGGAGACCTGGAACTCCTTTTGCAAAGTGAATTGTACACGGGATATGCGTTAAAAGATTAAGAGTTTGGTTTAAAAACAAAACAAAACTTGTTTTTAGGTAAAGGTCATAGGATTTTTTTTTTTTTTTAAGTATTTTTAGAGAGGGAAGGGAGAGGGATAGGAAGAAACGTCAATGAGCGAGGAACATCACCCATGGGCTGCACGCCCCCAACTGGGGACCAAGCCGGCTTTCCGGGCCTGTGCCCAGATGGGAATCCTACCGACCCAGGTCTACCCACCGGCCCGGTTTAAAAATTTGACCTTTGGTGAATTAGGATTTGATCTGGGATTACATGAAAGTGCAATTTTTATTTCTGTTTTGCTTTAATATACACGATTGAACTCTGATCAGTTTGGTTCAGTGGATAGAGCATTGGCCTGCAGTCGGAAGGGTCTCAGGCTTGATTCCTGTCAAGGGCATGTACCTTGGTTGTGGGCACATCCCCAGTAGGAGGCGTGCAGGAGGCAGCTGATCGATGTTTTTAACTCTCTATCCTTCTTCCTTCCTCTCTTTAAAAATAATAAAACATATATTTTTAAAAATACATGCGGGGTCGCCGAAACCGGTTTGGCTCAGTGGATAGAGTGTCAGCCTGCTGACTGAAAGGTACCAGTTTGATTCCGGTCAAGTGCATGTACCTTGGTTGTGGGCACATATCCCCATTGGGGGGTTTTAGGAGGCAGCTGATTGATGTTTCTAACTATCTCCCTTCCTCTCTGTAAGAAATCAATTTTATATAAAATATATATATATATATATATATATATATATATATATATATATATATATATGCAGGATTGAGTGTCATGGTTTGCATGGACTAGTTTTTGCAAACGGAAATTTTTTCAGCTTCCTCAGGATGCAATATCAGCACACTTTTCAATTAAACTCAACCAAAAGCTTAAAAGTAAATGAGTGGAGAATTTCCTCTCAGGAGTTGAATCCCCAATATCTGACAGTTTCTTGTACTTCTCATCCCAAATTTTAAGACAAGAAGCCCTTAATATAACAAGAACTAAATTACAAAACCTTGCCATTAACTCCTAGGTTGTGGCAAAAATATTAGAGGAGCCAAAACTGGTTTGGCTCAGTGGATAGAGCATCGGCCTGCAGACTGAAAGGTCCCAGGTTCGATTCCAGTCAAGGGCATGTACCTTGGTTGCAGGAGGCAGCTGATTGATGTTTCTCTCATCGATGTTTCTAACTCTCTCTCTCTCCCTTCCTCTCTGTAAAAAATCAATAAAATATATTAAAAAAAAATTTTTTTAAAACCCTGGCTCAAGCCCTGTGGGCATGACTCAGTCATTGAGCCTCGACCTATGTAAATCAGGAGGTCAAGGTTTGATTCCCAGTCAGGGCGCATGCCAGGGTTGCAGGTTCTGACCACAGTGTGAGGGTATGCAGAAGGCAGCCAATCAATGATTCTCATCATTGATGCTTCTCTCCCTCTCCCTTCCTCTCTGAAATCAATAAAAACATATTAAAAAAATAAAATTGTGAATTTTGTTTTCTGCTCCATAATATATCCCTCTTTGGTTTAAAGAGGTCTCTAGGACTTATTTTACTCTAATGTGCATCTGGAAAAGGAAGTCATGGATGTTATTCTTTTTTTTTTTTTTTTTGCTTTTTGTTTTGTTCTTAGCTAAAGAAATGTTTTATATTAATTTCCCCTGCCTAAGAAATATGTTTTAGATTTATTAATTACATCTTCAGGGTGTTTTACTTGTCTATTTGTGTGGTGACCGACACACTTGAAGGGGGATTTAAGATGCTGAAACGCATAGATGCTTTACTTTTAAATGATGTTTAGACTTGCATAGCCTATTTACTTTCAAGTAAAGGGACTCTAAGTACTTAATGACAATCCAGTAATTTCCAAGCAGTTTTGCTTTGCTGGTTGTGTGTAATGCTCAAATGGTCTGGGTAGAGACCAAGAAGCCATATGAGCTTTTTTTTCTCTCTCTCCTTAATTTGAGAGAGAGGAAGGGAAGGAGAGAAAGAGAATGTCAGTCCCCAGTATGGAGAGATGGTTGCTGGAGGCAGCCAGACTGGTGTTTCTTTTTCATTGATGTTTCTCACCCTCTCCCTTCCCCTTTCTCTCTCAAAATCAGTAAAAACCTATTTAAAAAAAGAAACAACCTGCCCTAGCTGGTTTGGCTCAGTGGACAGAGCATCAGCCTACAGACTGAAGAGTCCCAGGTTCGATTCCAGTCAAGGGCACATGCCTGATCCCCATTGGGGGATGTGCGGGAGGCAGCCGATCAATGATTCTCTGTCATCTTTGATGTTTCTATCTCTCTTTCCCTCTCCCTTTCTCTCTGAAATCAGTAAAGATATATTTTTTAAAAAAACAAAAACATCCAAACCTGTACAGAATTTTTAAAAATATATTTTATTGATTTTCCATAGAGATGAAGGGAGAGGGATAGAGAGTTAGAAACATCGATGAGAAAGAAACATCAATCAGCTGCCTCCTGCATACCCTCTACTGGGGATATGCTCGCAACCAAGGTACATGCTCTTGACCAGAATCAAACCTGGGACCCTTCAGTCCGCAGGCCGATGCTCTATCCACTGAGCCAAACCTGTTAGGGCCTGTACAGAATTTTTATTTGAGCCAAACTGATGGGATATGCTGGGGATCAAAATGTCAAATGCTCTGGAGAATAACAGTTTTGAAATTTCTTTTATACATTTGAAATTAAGGAAGAGACATAAGAAAGATTACATAAAGGTCAAAGAAAGCAAGGCAGGGATTGGATTAAAGAATAGTTAAGATTATTTTCTCTCTTGAGGGTAGTTCCACCTTAAGAGGGGGCTTTTCAAAGCTGTGTTCAACTAAGTGCACCAAAACAATGGACAGGGCTTGCTTAAGACAAAGATATAAACCATTTACTAAAATGTTATAGGCCTGTCCTGAGCAGTGGTTAGAGCATCAACCTGAGGTCCTAAGGGTCTTGGGTTTGATTCCTGGCCTAGGGCACATACCTCAATTGTGGATCAGATCCCCAACACCTGTTGGGGTGTTTTCAAGAGGCACATGCTGCCCCTATACCTGCAATATCCCTTATTATTGCTTCATAGAAACCTACTTAAAAACCAGCTGGCATGCTAACCGGTTTGGCTCAGTGGATAGAGCATCGGCCTGTGGACAGAAGGGTCCCAGGTTCGATTCCAGTCAAGGGCATGTTACCTTGGTTGCGGGCACATCCCCAGCGGGAGTGTGCAGGAGGTGGCTGATGGATGTTTCTAACTCTCTATCCCTCTCCCTTCCTCTCTGTAAAAAATCAATAAAGTATATTTTTGAAAAATAATAATAAAAAAAATAAAACCGGCCAAAACCGATTTGGCTCATTGAATAGAGCATCGGCCTGTGGACTGAAGGGTCCCAGGTTCGATTCCGCTCAAGAGCATGGTTGCGGGCACATCCCCAGTAGGGGGCGTGCAGGAGGCAGCTGATCGATGACTCTCATTGATGTTTCTGGCTATCTCCCTTCCTCTCTGTAAAAAATAAAATATATATTAAAAAATAAATAAAAAATAAAACCGGCTGGTATGGCTCAGTCATATTTCCCTGCCCCCTTCCACTCCTTCTGAAAATCAATGGAAAAAATATTCTCTAGTGAAGCTTAAAAAAAATAAAAAGTTATAGGCCAGGGGCCTGACTTCTCCACCATGGTCTGCCTGGTTAGGAATTTATGATCTGATCACCCTATGGGGTTACTTTCCATAGAACCCCTTCTTTTGTCCACATGAGGAAGTACTATGCATTGGAGGAACACGAGTACTTTAGAAGCAGGTGGGGAAAATATTTGAAAAGACATAGGAGAAATAGGTCTTAGAATCATAGGACTCGGGGAAGGAGAGAAATTCAAGAAGAGAAAGAATGGTTCTGAGGGGCAATTGGTTTAGAGCACATGTGTCAAACACAAGGCCCGCGGGCCAAATCCGTCCCGCCAGGCCTTGCAATGTGGCCTGCACCGCGCTGTCATCACTACACTCCGCTGTGTTTCCATCACAATGACAGTTTATGACTATTCAGTAAACCATTCGGCCCGCGATTTAGACTGGATTTTAGATTTTGGCCCCTTCTCTGATTGAGTTCGACACCCCTAGTTTAGAGGTTGGATCCTTGGATGTGTTTCAATGATTATTTATGGGAGGAACAAATAAAGAGGGGAGGGGAGTTGATTCACATAACTGGCTCAATAGGAAGGTGGTGGAGAGAGATAGTGAGTACAGATGATTGGATTAATGTCAGTTACTGTAGAATCATTTACATTTTCTAAGATTATATGATAAATTAAAAATAATCAGGCTATTTTTGGGATTGGTGGCATTATGATGTACTCAGACCAGGGAGAATAGAAGTGGAGAAGACTAGCCCCAGAAGAAATTTGAGAAGTGGAAAGCAAAGCTGTATTGGGGAAGAGCAGATGAAGGGAAGAAAGTAAGTATTGGTACTGTGAAAACCTGGAGACCAAGCTATCTGAAGACCCTTTTGTACTTGTATTAGCAGCAGGAAAATGGCACCAGGTGTGAACCAGGGTTCTGCAAACTCAGTTCTTGAGTTCTGGCTAAGGGAAGAATTCAGAGCCGAGACTCAAATTATAAAAGAAAGTTTATTGAGAAAGTCTATAGGGAGTTGAGGGGAGTTCTGATCTCAGAACTCTTCATCAACTCATATTTCAATTTAGGTATCTGGAAACGGTTCCCCAGGAACGGAAGTGGAGAATTCCTTTACATCAGATACTCAAATGAAAGAATCACCAACAGAGGGTGGTGACAAGGCAGTGGCACCACCACTACTGCAGCCGGATGAAATTAAGACAGAACCCGACAATGCTCAGGTAAAATGGTACTTGTTTTCTTTTTTCTAGAGCAGCATCAAATTATAAATTTTAGTTATTTAGATGCTGGTTTATTGGTTGAAAATTTTAAGTCCAAAGCAGTTGATCAAATAAAATAAGGTAGGTGGTGTTCAGTGCCAAAACAGTATGTACAAGAATGTGATCTGAGAGAAGAATGACCTGTTTGGAATTAGGTGTTTGGATTGATAAAAGGAAGATATTATGGGCCTAAGGTTAATATGCTTTTGTTTTTCTTTTTTTCTTTTTTTCTTTTTTTTAATATTTTATTGATTTTGTACAGAGAGGAAGGGAGAGAGACAGAGAGTTAGAAACATCGATGAGAGAGAGTCATCGATCAGCTGCCTCTTGCACACCCCCTACTGGGGATATGCCCGCAACCAAGGTACGTGCCCCTGACCGGAATCAAACCCGGGACCCTTCAGTCCCCAAGCCGACGCTGTGTCCATTGAGCCAAACTGGTCTTGGCTGCTTTTGTTTTTCTTGAAACAATTCAAATAAATATATTTTGAAGCTACTGCCTATATCAAGTTGTAGAATATATTTTAAATTCTTAGACTTATTTTCTTTTTAATTTTTTAATCTTTACAATTTTGGTTTGCTTTTTATGTTTGTTTCTTCTTTTCTTTTTTTTAATATATTTTATTGACTTTTTACAGAGAGGAAGGGAGAGAGATAGAGAGCTAGAAATGTCAATGAGAGAGAAACATCGACCAGCTGCTTCTTGCACACCCCCTACCGGGGATGTGCCCGCAACCAAGGTACATGCCCTAACCAGAATCGAACCTGGGACCTTTCAGTCCGCAGACTGGCACTCTACCACTGAGCCAAACCGGTCTCGGCTGTTTGTTTCTTTTTTAATATATTTTATTGATTTTTTTACAGAGAGGAAGGGAGAGAGATAGAGAGTTAGAAACATCGATGAGAGAGAAACATTGACCAGCTACCTCCTGCACACCCCCTAACGGGAATGTGCCTTCAACCAATGTATGATACATGCCCTTAACCGGAATCGAACCTGGGACCTTTCACTGTGCAGATCGACGCTCTATTCACTGAGTCAAACCGGTTTCGGCTGATTATTCTTTAAGTAAGACCAAATTTCCTTGGAATATTTGTATATGGTCTAGGTGAAATTTATTTTAAATATATTTTATTGATTTTTTTTTTTTACTTTATTTTATTTTTTATTATTTTTTAACAAATCTTTATTGTTCATATTATTACAAAAGTTCCTCATTTTTTCCCCTCCACCAGGTTCCTACCCCACCCTCTGCCCTTTCCCCACCCCCTATTGTCCTCATCCATAGGTGCACAGTTTATGTTCAGTCTCTTCCAGCACCCCCCACTCCTCTTTTCCCTGAGAATCATCAGTCCACTCCCCTTCCATACCTCTGATTCTATTATATTCAGCAGTTAATATTGTTCATCGGGTTTTTTAATTCCCTTGGTTTTTATTTTATTTTATTTTATTTATTTTATTTTTTTATTGGCTTCCAAAGGGGAGTTTAAGGTCAAAAGGAGTTTCGTGTGTACCCAAATCCTATTCATCAAAATCTGGGTAAGCTCTTTATTTTTTGGTACAAGATTTAGCATATCGAGACCTGGGTGAGTCATTTTCAAAACTTGAATGTCAAGAGCTAAACTCTGGCTATTAAATAATAACAATGGCAATGCAAAACAACAAAATGAGAAATCAGAATTATGGACATATTAATATTTTTAGCTACTAAATGAGTCTCTTTTGTTGCTGGTGTAGATTTACTCAGAGTCCTTGGACTTGCTGCACAAGACTTTGCAGAAGACTGGAAGCTAACATGATTAAAGAAGTAGCTTCCACTTCAGTCTTTAATTTCTTCAGATGACTCCATGTTGGCACCTCAGTCCCTTGCATAGCTTTCAGTTTTGTTCTCCCACTTTGCTGTCCTCTGGGCAACTCTCAGACCTTTTGGGCGAAGGGACACAGGAGCTTCTCTGAGTCCATTGTGATGATGGACATACCACTCTGGCACCTGAATTGGCTGCATTGCTCCTTCTTTCCTTTAATTTTTTTTTTTTCTTTCCTTTAATTTTGAACCCAGGGTTCGACCCCACAACACTCCGGGCCTGGCTGCTCCAGGCCTAGCTGCTGCTGCTCTGGGCCTGACTATTGCTGCTCCGGGCCTGCCATTCTTCCATTTCTCCAACTGGTCACATTTTAAGAGCCCCATCGGTCCCTCATTGCTCTTATTATCATGTTAATTGTTGACTATTAACTACCCAGTACCTCCTTCCCGTGATTTTGGATGATAGATGTCCTTCATATTAGCTTTAATTTTTAAATTGTTGTGGGAGCAGCAGACCAGTTGCTCACCTACGCCGCCATCTTGGTTTCTCTCCCTGATTTTTTTTTTTTTTTTTTTTTTTTTTTTTTACAGAGGGGAAGGGAGAGGGATAGAGAGTTAGAAACATTGATGAGAGAGAAACACCTACCAGCTGCCTCCTGCAAACCAATGTACATGCCCTTGACTGGAATCAAACCTGGGACCCTTCAGTTCACAGACCGATGCTCTAGCCACTGAGCCAAACTGGTTTCAGCTGAAATTTCTAATGAAGCAAAAAATAAATTCAGTTTTAATTTATTTCTTGTATTTTGCCTTGAGAGACCCTAAAGCAGTGTTTTTCAACCTTTTTTGGGCAAAGGCACACTTGTTTCATGAAAAAAATCACGAGGCACACCACCATTAGAAAATGTTAAAAAATTTAACTCTGTGCCTATATTGACTATATATAAAGTAATTCTCTTGAATAGGAATCAAATAAACACAAAGAAAGTATTTTATAATTACTTTATTATGAAATATTAAGTAAACAAAATAGTGAAAAATTATAAAATTCTTGTCTTGTCTGCACCTACGGCACACCAGGCAACATCTCAGTGTGCCGCGGAACAGCGGTTGAAAAATTCTGCCCTAAAGTAAATCAATATCAAGTAAAGATATGACTCTCATTGAATTGGTAACAGTTCAGAATGCCCATCTAGGAAGTATCTGTTGCTTTTTCAACTTATACACATTAAAAAATAGATCAAGTTTAAACAGATTGCCTGTTGCTGTGAGAAAAAAAAAAAGAACAAAAACCTCGTTTGTAAAACTCATTCAGCCTAATCTAACAGTTTTTGCGTTCAAAGTCTTTATAAAGGCAATTATTTCTCAGCACAGGAGCTGCCCCCTGGTGGTCAGTGTGCTTCCACAGGGTGAATGCCGCTCAGCCGGAAACTGGCTCATGGCTGGCCACTGCAGCAGCGGTGGCAGCGCTAAGGATGTCCCCTGAGAGTTCCCGGGCTGCCAGAGGGATACCTGACTGCCAGCTTAGACCTGATCACCTGGGGAGTGGGCCTAAGGCTGGCAGGTGGACATCCCCCGAGGGGTCCCGGACTGCGAGAGGGCACAGGCCAGGCTGAAGGGGACACACACACACAGAGTGCATGAATTTTTGTGCACCAGGCCTCTAGTAGAAAATAATGTAGTAATTGATTGGTGTTATTAGCCGAAGGTCACAAAAAAAAAAAAAATAAATTAAATTAAATTAAAAAAAAAAAAAAAAAAATATATATATATATATATATATATATGTTTTTTGTTTTTGTTTTTTTGTTTGTTTGTTTGTTTTTACAGAGAGGAAGGGAGAGGGATAGAGAGTTAGAAACATCAATGAGAGAGAAACATGGATCTGCTGCCTCCTACACGCCCCCACTGCGGATGCGCCTGCAACCAAGATACATGTACATGCCCCTGATTGGACCCTTCAGTCCACAGGCCGACGATCTATCCACTGAGCCAAACTGGTTAGGGCACCCAAAAGGAAAGTTTTCATATATGTGCCATGGTTCAATTCAATTGTACAAATTCACTGAATGGACTTTAGCATAATTTATTATTTTTTTCAGTTAAGTGTTTGTTTAAAATACATTGTGTTCACTATTTCTTTTTTCTTTCTTTTTTTTTTTAGGAGTATTGTCAAGCCCAACAGTCCAAAACTAAGGAGAATGAACAGAAAATAAGCACTATATTTACAGACAGTGGTAATGGAATTATTTAAATTAATCCTATTTATTCTGACCAATATGATAGCCAATTTATTCTTTTTTAGAATGTCATTGAATAGTGCATTGTTTTGAGTAATAAATCCAGTAGTAGCTTCTAAAATAAAATGAAAGAAAAAGCAAACTTCATTTTAATGTAAATACTGAATATTTTCTTTCCTGTTTGGTGTTTATAGCTTCACAGACAACTACAGGCATTCAGCCTTCTCTGACATCATCTGGAATGAATAAAATGCTTCCTTCACTTTCAACCACCGCTATTCAGGTTTCCTGTTCGGGTTGTAAGAAAGTTCTTCTGAAGGGGCAAACTGCTTATCAGAGAAAAGGATCTACTCAGCTTTTCTGCTCCACACTGTGTATCACTGAATACGTTTCATCTGGCAGTTCATCAGCTCTTCCCAAGAGAACTTGTGCAAACTGCTCAAGGTACATAATTCTAAATTAGCCCCTTTTGACTTCTCTACCAGGATCTTGGACAGAGTTTTTGCTGTAGTTTTCTACATTGTCATTTTTTCTGAAAAAAATATCACCTTGGTTTAGGGAAAAGTTGCTTCTGTTTTCAGTTTCTTTAATAGAGTCTTTAGAAATCTTTTTAGCCCCAGCCAGTTTTGCTCAGTGGATAGAGTGTCTGCCTGTGGACTGAAGGGTCCTGGGTTCAGTTCCGGTCAAGGGCACATGCCTGGGTTGCAGATTCTATCCCAAGTAGGGGTTATACAGGACTTTTTTACAGAGAGGAAGATAGAGGGATAGAGAGTTAGAAACATCGATGAGAGAGAATCATCGATCAGCTGCCTCTTGTGCCGCCCCTACTGGGGATGTGCCCGCAACCAAGGGACGTACCATTGACTGGAATCGAACCTGCAGGCCAAAGTTCTATCCACTGAGCCAAACTGGTCTCAGCAGCCTCAAATATCTTTACCTTTTATCTATTCCCACACTGTTCCTTCCTCTTTTACTCTAATGCACCCACCCAGATTTATTGTTCCATGGTCTGTTTTTATAGTGTTCACAACTCCCAAAATATTGATCATAAAATTAATGTTTTAAAGAATTGATACTGCCCAGTTTAGATAATGAGCTTTATATATATATATATTATTGATTTCAGAGAGGAAGGAAGAGGAAGAGAGAGATAGAAACATCAATGATGAGAGAGAATCATCAGGCACCCAACCTGGGTGTGTGTCATGACCTGGAATCTATTTGTGTGACCTCCGAGTTCATGGGTCAGTGCTCAACCCCTGAGCTACACAGGCCAGGCTACAATGAACTTCTTAACATTAGAAACTAGATTACAGTCATCTTTATATCCCCATCATGTGAACACTGCCTGGCACCAGTAGATCCTAGAATTTTTGTCTGAAGTACCAGGATAACACAACCCAGACTGCATTTAGAGCTGCTGTGTTTTAAACCAATAAAATGAATGATGATGTGATAATGAAATGAACATGTTATTTTTGGTATCATCTGATTAAAAGGCTAGAAAAATCATGCATAATACACTAAAACTTTGTAAATGTTGATCTGTTAAAATAGTGTTGATTTTAAGAGTATTTAATCTTTGAGGGGGATAAGGACACATATGTGATAGATAACTTAATCAATAAAGAAAAATAAGTATTTAATCTGAAAAACTATTATACTGAAATATTTTATTCTGAAGGTTCTAGGTAGCTAGGTATGTTGGTCATTTCCTGTAGTGGCAGTGCTCAAATTTTCTGCTCTCCAGACCCCTTTACACTCATGAAAATTACTGAAGACCCAAAGAGTTTTAGTTTTAGGTAGGTCATATCTACCAATAATACTGTGTTAGAAGTTAAAACTGAGGAATTTAAAAACTTGACTGATTTAAAGTAATAAACTCAGTGCATGTTCACATGAATATCATGAAAAACAGCCTTTTTAAAAATTTCTGTGAGAAGAAAAATTTAGTGGGCATTGTTTTTATCAGTTTTACTTTAATGGCAGGCTGGGTTTTCATATCTGCTTCTGTATCCAGTTTCTTGCAAAAATTGTTTTGGCAGAAGTCTAAAGAAATCTGGCCTTACAAAATGTATAATTGGAAAAGAGAGGAGTGTTCTACTAGTGTTTAGATCATTGTGGATGCTCTTCTTTGAAAGAACATCAGAAGACAAGTGGTAGGTTTTTAAAGGTTGATTGTATGTAATATGTAATCTGAAACCATATCAATGAACGTTTTGTACTGCTAAATTAAAACTTATGGGTCTATTTTGTACTTTGGTTACTTTCCCCATAAATGATTTCTGTTATGTGCAATCATTGGAAAATACTGGTTCAGTGAGTTATGCAGATGTTGGTATATTTTATTATGCAATATTTTTAAAATCACTTTTTTAAAAAAATCACTAATCTCATCAGGAATGTCTAAGTAATGGGGAGCGATTAAGCTGGAAGTAGCAGATACAAGTTTTCAAAAATTCTTATTTTCCATGAAGCTCAAATTTTACCATGGCAATGAATACTGCCAGTTGTTTTCTTTGAAGTAACAGTCTTACCTAATTCATTTTTGAGAAAAAGTATCTGCCAGGTATCCACTTCTGGGTAGTAGTTGTTCTTTCAAGTAAAAATATGTTTCATAGAAAAAGTGGCTAACCTTAGTTACAAGTCTTAACATTCCCACACATGGTTTTCCTTGAAACAACCATCATTCTTAAGTGCACATGGGCAATTCTTTATGCCTCTATCCTATTCTACCACACAAAAAAGATGTGATGTACTCAAGGATCAAGTTTAATAAAGTGAGTAATTTTTACAGCAAAAGCTTGGCAGTGTACTAGTATGGGTACAGTTTGGTGCTACTACCTTGATTTATGGTAAGGTTCTGGCAGTTTTACCCAGCACTGCTTCCCCCTCCCCTTCCAACTTATCAAGGTGAAATTCACATAACAAAAAACATTGCAGTAACATTCGTACATTGACAGTGTCGTACAACTACCACCTCTAATCTAGTTCTAAAACATTTCTGTCACTCCAAAGTAAAATGCTTCATTTAGTTTCTCCACGTTTCCTTCTCCTGTCCCCTCAGCCCCTGGCAACCACCAGCCTGTGTTCTATGTATTTATCTATTCTGGATATTTCCTATAAATGAAATCCTACAGGTGATCTTTTGTTCCTGGCTTTTTTCCCCTTAGCATGTTTTTGAGCTTCATCCATGTTGTAGCATGTGTATTAGTACTTCATTCTTTTTTATAGCTGAATAATACTCCACTGCATGAATATACCACAATTTCTTTATCCCTTCATTCATTGATAAACATTTAGGCTGTTTTAACTATTGTGAATAGTGCTATTATGAATATGCATGTATATGTTCTTTTTTAAGTACCTGTTTTCAATTCTTTGGGTATAAACCTAGGAGTAGAATTAAAGGAGCCTACCATTGCTTTTCAGATATACAGTGAAAAAGGCAAATAACATCTTTTTAAAAATATATATATTTCTTTATTGATTTCAGAGTGGAAGGGAGAGGGAGAGAGAGAGAGAAACATCAGTGATAAGAGAGAATCATTGATTGGTTGCCTCATGCACAGCCCCTCCTGGGGATCGAGCCCACAAGCCTGCAACCCGGTCATGTGCCCTTGACCGGAATCGAACCTAGGACCCTTCAGTCTGCAGACCAACACTCTATCCATTGAGCCAAACCGGCTAGGGCAGCAAATAACATCTTAATGTGGAAATAGTTTTGATTTTGTGGATTCCCTCAAAGCATCTGGGGATCCCCAGGGATTTACAGACCATACTTTGAAATCTTCTGTCCTGCCAAAACCAGTTTGTCTCAGTGGATAGAGCATCGACCTGTGGACTGAAGGGTCCCGGGTTCGATTCTGATCAAGGGCATGTACCTTATTGCAGGCACATCCCCGATGGGGGGCGTGCAGGAGGCAGATGATCGATGACTCTCATCAATGTTTCTAACTCTCTGTCTCTCTTCCTTCCTCTCTGTAAAAAAATCAATAAAGTATATTTTAATTTTTAAAAAAATATATTTTATTGATTTTTACAGAGAGGAAGGGAGAGAGACAGAGAGCTAGAAACGTCAATGAGAGAGAAACATCGACCAGCTGCCTCTTGCACACCCCCTAACTGGGGATGTGCCCGCAACCAACGTACATGCCCCTCACCGGAATTGAACCCGAGACCCTTCAGTCCGCAGACCGACGCTCTACCACTGAGCCAAACTGGTTTCGGCAATAAAGTATATTTTAAAAAGAAAGAAAGAAATCTTCTGATCTATAGATTTCAAAGTTGGTCAGGTATGAATATGTGATATCACTTATTATAACTAGCACCTGCTAACACAGGTTAGGTAATCCTTAAAACTGCACTGTCAGATGTGTTTTATAATCCCTACTTTATAGATGAGTAAATAACATGTAGGTAATAAAAATGACCTATAAGTAAAAGAACTAGATACTAAATTTGGGTTTTCTTACATCAAGGCTGATGTTGTTACTATTTCACAGTTCTACAGGTAAATGAAACAATAAAGGAGAAGGTTGTTTGAGGGAGTGATTTAGCTTATAGAGAGAAATTATACTTATGGTAAAACTGTTTAATGATGCCCTATTCTTCAGGTAAATGAAACAATAAGAGATGCCCTAGCTGATTTGGCTCAGGGGATAAAGAATCAGCCTGACAAGTATAATTATCATGAGGTGGTGGGATAATACTTTGGAAAAATTAATTTTGTGTTCTTTCTTCTCCTCTATGTTATTCCCCTTCCTGCCTTCAGAAATATGACTACCTTCTACACATGGGGTTGTCAAAATAAAACCATAACGTGACAGAAAAAAAAAAAAAAAAATCAGCCTGAGGACTGAAGGGTCCCAGGTTCAATTCTGGTCAAGGGCACATGCCTGGGTTGTGGCTTTATACCCAGTAGGGGGCATGCAGGAGGCAGCTGATCAATGATTCTCTCTCACTGATGTTTCTCTCTCTCTCTCTCTCTCTCTCTCTCTCTCTCTCTCTCTCTCTTTTTCTCTCTCTCTCTTTCTCATTATCCTTTCTTCTTTGAAATCAATAAAAATATTTTTTTTAAACAATAAGGGAAAAGGTTGTTTGAAGGAGTGATTTACCTTATAGAGAGAAATTATAATTACGACAAAACTGTATAATGATACCCTTATTATTTATTTTCAGAGACATTTTAAATCTAAAGGATGTCATCAGTGTCCAGCCAAAAGATACTACCTTTAGCAAAAATTTTTGCAGCCAATCTTGTCTAAGAAAACTATCTGTTAAGCTATATACTGAGAGAATTTCAGCCAAATGCAGCATGTGTCAGAAGACTACTCTCGTAAGTTGCAGTTTTTTTTATCTTTAGGGACTCTGATTGATCTGCCTAAATACTAGAATTTTTACTGAATCTTTTTTTGTTTTTACCCTAGATTCAGTATGAAGTAGAATATCAGAATGTGAAACATATGCTTTGCAGTAATGCCTGTTTTTCAAAGTTTCACTCTGCTAACAACCTCATCATAAACTGTTGTGAGAACTGTGGAGTTTACTGTTACACTAGTTCTGATCTGTTCCATATACTTCAGGTGGAAGGACAGTCCCATTACTTAAACAGTTCAAAGAATATTACAGCATGCCAGCAGGTATGAATAAAGGTCTGTTGCTTAAAGGGAGGACCACTCCATTTGAACTTGACTGCATAGGACTCAGTGAAAAATTGAAGACTAAGTCCCTTCTGTTAGTTGGCTTGTGAATGGTTTCACTTTAGGAAAATGTGGGGGTAATAGATTTTAATGCCATTGGGAACAGTTTCAGTTGGTAAAATGGAGATGAGATGAAATAAAAGACTTCTGATAGTTCCTTCTTGTATAATAATTCATGATAAATGATAGGTGGAGATTTTCCTAAAGAATCTCAGGTGGTCATCTTACCTTGAGGAAAGGCAACAGATGGAAGCTCATTTATAAACTACAAATAAAGTTAACACAGATCACAGTAATCAACTGGTAAGACTCAGCTACAAAAGTGTTTTTGTTTTTAGTTCCATGTATTTTTTATTTTATTTTATTGATTTTTTACAGAGAGGAAGAGAGAGGAATAGAGTTAGAAACATCGATGAAAGAGAATCATCGATCAGCTGCCTCTTGCACACCCCCCACTGGGGATGTGCCCGCAACCAAGGTACATGCCCTTGCCCGGTATCGAACCCGGGACCTTTCAGTCTGCAGGCCGACGCTCTTATCCACTGAGCCAAACCGGTCCCAGCACACATCTTTTTTTTTTTATGTAGACTGTCCGCACCAGAGAATATGTCTTGGGAATAGAAATGGGACAATGAAAGTCATGGAAATCTTCCAAAGGCAAGAAATGCCATTCCTTATTTTCCTTCCTTATCCCTCACACTTAATAGACCTTGTCCTGGTTTTAAGAACCTATATTGAGCACTTACTTATTCAACCTATGTGATGGGGCAGGGCTGATTTGTGTAGAGGAGTTGAAAAGCACTACCTAGCCCTGCCACTGTGGCTCAGTGGGGGCAATTGGGCCTGCAGGGGAGCAGTTAGGTGTCGATCAGGCTAGCAGGGGAGTGGTTAAGGGGTAATTAGGCTGGCAGGCAGAAGCAGTTAGGGGCAATCAGGCAGGCAGGCAGGCAGGCAGGCAAGTGGTTGGGAGCCAGAGTCCCGGGTTGTGAGAGGGATGTCCCACAGGGATTGGGCCTAAACTGGCAGTCTGACACCCCCTGAGGGGTCCCAGATTGGAGTATTGGGGCAGTATGCAGGCTGGGCTGAGGGACACCCCCCCGCCCCAGTGCACGAATTTTGTGCACTGAGCCTCTAGTATTATTATAAACTAGAAGCCCGATGCACGAAGATTCATGCTAGAATGGGCTTTCCTTTCCCTGGCTGCCAGCATCATCTTTCCAATATGCCCCAGCCCCTTTTCACTCAGGCCCCAGAGCCACCTCTTTCCATTCCATTTCCTCCTCATGCTGGTAGAGGCCCTGAGAGACCAAGGATAGAGCAGAACGCCTGTGTTCCAACCCTGTCACTCAGCAGCTGAGTATGCAAATTAACCACCATTTGTTGGGTTAATTTGCATATCACTCCTGATGGGCTAGTGGTGTAGCAGAGGTACAATCAATTTACATGTTTCTCTATTATTAGGTAAGATATTAGCTTTCCCATAAGAATAATTAATTATAAATTATACCACTACTAGTGGCCCAGTGCACGGATTCATGCACATTGAAAGGAAATTAGTGAGAAGAAATATTTTAATATCACTATTCGCCCTTTGTCTATAATAAAAGTGTTAAACAAATTCACCATGGACAATGACAGATCCAAACACACGCATGCGATTGGTGCCAGCCAGAGCTTTATATGTATTGTGCATGCATGAGTCAACTTAGCTTTTATTTTTTATTTTTTTTTTTTTTTTAATGGTAGACACTGCAAGGAAACCAGAGTGCTGGAGAACTTTATTTTATTTTATTTTTTAAATATATTTTATTGATTTTTTACAGACAGGAAGAGAGAGGAATAGAGTTAGAAACATCGATTAGAGACATCGATCAGCTGCCTCTTGCACACCCCCTACTGGGGATGTGCCTGCAACCAAGGTACATGCCCTTGAATGGAATCGAACCTGGGACCCATGAGTCCACAGGCTGACACTTTATCTACTGAGCCAAACCGGCTAGGGCTCAACTTAGCTTTTTATATATATAGAATAAACTTGCTTAATTAGACCTGCTTTCTGATTTAGCTAAACTTTTTCCAGCTCAGTGAAGCAACCCAACTTCTCTTCAGGTAACTGTTAGCAACACAGCAGTAAATATCAACACAAAGCAGGTTTATTGTAGATCATGCAGGAAGAACAAAGGGTAAAACATTTAACTGCAGCAGTGTTTGACTGTATTCTACACAGTGAAAAAACCTGAAGTCATTTTCAAGGTCCACCATTTCTTATTTCTTTTCAGTCAGATCAAGTTTCTAAGCTTCCTAAATCTCCATTTTTCAGCTAATGAAAATAAACTAGGATTCTACTGAGTCTCCTATCTATCTACTCCAGGATGCTGTGAGGATCAAATGAGATGAGGCACAGGAAAACACTTCATAGACATTTGGTTAAAGTGTGAAATGTTTGCTATAAAGCAAGTCATGTTCCTGGACTGAAGAAACTGCAAGGAGGCTAGTTGCTAGGGAGAGGAAGCTGGGTGTTGCTACATGACATCATTACCCGGCGACCACAGCCACTGTTTCCGGGCTGGGCTGGGCTGTGGGCTGCATTTTGCACCATGGGTTCTCAGCAGTGTCAGCTGCACTTTGATGGAGTGTCACTCCAGGGTAGTGGTTGGGCCTGTGTCCCACTTGGGGGAAGTTGAGTTTTGCTTTATGGGCACCAGGTTTGTGGTGCCGTTTTTCTGTGTGCACAGGCAGATCTTGCATTGAGCATCTGCCCCTGGTGGTCAATGCAAGTGATAGCAACCAGTGGGACACTGCATATTACCCTGATTCCCCAAAAATAAGACAGTGTCTTTTTTTTTTTTTTTTTTAATATATTTTATTGATTTTTTACAGAGAGGAAGAGAGAGGGATAGAGAGTTAGAAACATCGATGAGAGAGAATCATCGATCAGTTGCCTCTTGCACACCCACTACTGGGGATGTACCCGCAACCAAGGTATGTGCCCTTGACCGGAATCGAACCCAGGACCCTTCAGTTCACAGGCTGATGCTCTATCCACTGAGCCAAACCGGTTTTGGCGACAGTGTCTTATATTAATTTTTTCTCCCAAAGTTGTGCTAGGTCTTATTTTCAGGGGATGTCTTATCTTTCCATACACTAGGTCTTATTTTCGGAGGATGTCTTATTTTTGGGGAAACACGGTAGATTTTTATAGATAGGTAGATAGGTAGGTAGGTAGGTAAGTAGATAGATAGATAGATAGATATTGTAGATAGATGGTTAATGTTAAATACCAGTGGATTTTTAGGGGTGTCTCAAAATACAGTCATACTAATCCTGTATAATAAATTGGTTATATGCAAATTGGCCCTCATGGCCTCACAAGATGGCTGCCTACGACCAGGCCAGCAGGGGAGTTAGTGAGGGACGACCAAATGACTGAACAAGCAGGCTGTGTGGGGCGACCAGGCTGGCAGGGGGAGCAGATGGGGGTGATCAGGCTGGCCCAGGGTGGGGTGGGGGGGCAATTGGGGGTGATTAGGCTGGGGGGGGGGCAGTTATGGGTGATTAGGCTGGAAGGGGGCAGGAAGGGGCAACTAGGCCAGCAGGAGGGGCAGTGAAAGGCAACCAGGCTGGAAGAAAGAAACAGTGAGGGGCAACCAGGCCAGCAGAGGGGGACAGTAAGGGGTGACCAGGCCCATGAGGGGGACAGTTAGGAGTGAGCAGGCCAACAGGGAAAAGGCAGTTGGAGGTGACCTGGCTGGCAGCAGGGACAGTTAGGGGTGACCAGGCCAGCAGAGGGTGCAGTTAGGGGTGATCAGGCTGTCACACAGAAGCATTGAGGGGCAATCAGGCCAGCAGGGCGGGGGCAGTGAGAGTCGACCAGGCAGGCAGGCAGGTGAGCAATTAGGAGCCAGCGATCCAGGATTGTGAGAGGATTGTCCAACTGCCAGTTTAGGCACAATGCCTGGGGTGGGGCCTAAACCGGCAGTTGGACATCCCCCCAAGGGTTCCAGATTGGAGAGGGTGCAGGCTGGGCTGAGGGGACCCCCCCTACCCCATGCATGAATTTCATGCACCGGGCTTCTAATAAAGGATAAAAATACAAATTTTCAAAATTATACTCTGCTTTTTGTTTCATTGTTTCTTTGCCAATATTCTTTCACAGAAAAAAAAAATTGTATAAGGTATTTTAATTTGTCTTTGTACTTTGTGCCCACAAAAGCAGTTTGTTTCATCATTGTCATCTGTGTTAACTTCTTAAATTCATGAATGATGGTTCCTGCTTCACTAGAAAGAATACTAGTAGGTGATGAACCTCACAGTTTCCCTCCTTTTCCTTTGCACACACGTACTGCTTATTGAACACACTTTATTCTATACCTCTTACTGCTTCAATGCTTTCTTTGAATATGCTTGAAATTTGTTACCATGTAAGTTGGCCTAGAAAAAGTGACTTCCCACAACATTTTGTAAAGTGTGTTAAGACCTTTTCTAGCTCCTCCTTAAACACCAATAGGTTTTCCTGAATTGATGCTCAGACAGGTTTTGAGGGAAAAGCTACAGTTATAAGACTTATTTTTTATTCATATGAAAAAAGTATTCATAAAATTGGCTTTGATTGCCTGGGATGGCAAACATCCTCTATGAACACTTTTTTCGTTACTTGCACATGCATTATAATTGCTATTAATATATCAGACAAAAAAAATACAAGTAGTTATCTAATAGATTGACCAATTTCCTGCATTTCAATTATTGTAACTCGTGATGCCTTTTCTGGTCTTTAATAAAGTAAAAATGTGGCTTCACTGTCACTAATTTGTTGAGCAGTGGTGTTGAGTAAATTTTTGATAGTATGTTAAAAATTTGTCATATAGCAGGAATATATTATTTTAATCTCTAACAGAAACCAGCTCGAACTCTTACATCTGGTCTTTGCAAATCGTTGAAGCCCTCCGATGAAATGATCGAGATTACCAACGACTTGGGGAAGACAGAGCTTTTCTGCTCTGTTAGTTGTTTTTCTGCTTACGGTAAAGCTAAGCTGGAATCTTCTACAGGTAATGTTTGATTAATAAACAGGTTTAGTAATTACTGAAGCATATTACTGCTTCATTTCATTTATAACCTTGATTCATTTCCAAATTAGACTTAAAATTCAGAACCATTCAAAGCTTGTTGCAAAGAAATGCTTTCCAGTATTTTTGTATAAAAGGAAGACTACTTCACCAATATAGATTTAATATTTGTAAAGATGGTTGTGTTAGAATAGAATCCTATACTTAGCACTGCTTTGTAAAAAGAAGCCTATTAAGATTTCCACATGAAAGTACAGCCAGTTGGAACTACTTTGAACTTCACTAAGAGAAAAGCACAGATAATTCAGGGCCAACTATGTAATACCATCAAAGAGCCACATATAGTGCCATTGGTGCTATTTACATAGTCAGTGGAGTGAATGATGCTCCTGGGACTTGTACATCTTGCAAAATGGCTTATTGAAATCTCTGCAATACTATCTTAGCCCTAGCCAGTTTTGCTCAGTGGATAGATCATTGGCCTGCAGACCAAAGGGCCCCAGGTTCGATTCCAGTCAAGGACATGTACCTCAGTTGCAGGCTCCTCCCCAGCCCATGCCCTGGTCAGGGTGCATACAGGAGGGAACCAGTTGATGTGTTTCTCTCACATCCGATGTTTCTGCCTTTCCCTCTCTTATTCTCCCTAAAAATCAATGGAAAAATATCCTCAGATGATTTTTTTTTTAAGTGAGAATTAAAATATACTAGCTTGGATAGCAACCCAGCTCCATTCGTATTGATGTTTGTGAATCCTAGAAGAGTTAAAAGTAATATCCATTAGTAAATTCTCAAGGAGTCTCTGTTGTTTTTTTTCTTCCCTTTTTTAAAATACATTTTTAATTGATTTCAGATAGGGAGAAGAGAGAGATACAAACATCAATGAAAAGCGAGAATCATTGATTGGCTGCCTCCTGCATGGCCCCAAGGAATGAGCCTACAACCTGGGCATGTGCCCTTGACCAGAATCAAACCTGGGATCCTTCAAAATGCAGGCCAATGCTCTAACCACTGAGAAAACTGGTTAGGGCATTTTTTAATTTTTTTTTAATTTTTTTTTTTTTTTAATCCTCACCCAAGGATATTTTTCCATTAATTTTTAGAGAGAGTGGAAGGGAGGAAGTGACAGAAGAGAGAAACATCGATGAGAGAGAGACACATTGATTGGTTGCCTCCCGCACGAACCTGATCAGGGATGGAGCCTGCAACAGAGGTACATGCCCTTTGGCCAGAGTTAAACCCGGGACCTCCGGTCCATGGGATGATGCTCTCCCCACTGATCCAAACTAACTAGGTCTCTTTTTTGTTCTTCATGTGTAACTGTACAGAAAAAAATTGCTTTGAAATTTCAAACAAATAGTATAAAGACTGAGGAATTGTTTGCAAAGGTAAAAGAGATAAAATGATAGGAAATGTAAATTATTGTTTTAATGTTATTGATATTATCCTAAGGAGCCTGGCTATCCCTAAGCCCTACTAAAAATTATCCCAGTACACAGCAGTACCTAAAGCTATTAGATATTTGCATTGTTATTTGAAATACTTGTTATTAAACGATGCTAATTGGTTCTGCCTGGTTTATAAGAAACCTTCCCATTTTTATCAGTAAACGTTTCCATGGTGCATGACACTTCAGCAGAGCTCCCATCTCCAGAGAAGCACCTTTCTCCGAGGAAAGATACAACTCCAATTATAAGCAACATCATGTCATTGGCAGATACTCACGCTGCCCTGCCCATCATGAACTCTGATATCTTACAAGGTAAAAGTTGATGTGCTGTTTGACATAATGTAGTTTTGCCCTGCTTGATGAGCCTTTCTATATTCCAAGTTTTCTTTGTGTTGCCTGATATGAAAAAAGCAATTATGGTTTATGATGCTGTTTTATAGATTATGAAATAAGATCTTGAATTTATGCTTTAACAGGTACAGTTTCTTCAGTAAGAGGAAATGTCCTATTGGATGTAAGTTGTTGGGATTTTTTTTTGGCTACTGTCTTTTCTTAAGCTTTTTAAATCATTGTGTGTGTGTGTGTGTGTGTGTGTGTCTGAGCATTTTAATTCCTATTTTGATCCAAGAGCTCAAAAAAGTAGAGAAATAAACACATTTTGGTATTTATATTCAGTTTCCCAAATCTCAAATTTGAATTTATTAATAAGTTATTAACAAATTATTAATAAGAATATTTAAAGAGAAGTATTAACTCAGCAGAGTGGTTTAAGGTGGAGGCTCTAGCCCCAGAATAAAGAGAAGTATTCTTTTTAAATATATTTATTGATTTCAGACAGGGGGAGGGAGAGGGAGAGAGAGAAAGAAACAACCATGATGAGAGAAAATCATGGATAGGCTGCCTCCTGCACGCCCCCTGCTATGGATCGAGCCCACAACCCAGGCATGTGTCCTTGACTGGGAATCAAACCTGGGACCCTTCAGTCCGCAGGCCAAAGCTCTATTTACTGAGCCAAGCCGTCTGGGGCAAAGGGAAGTATTCCTTTTTTTTTTTTTTTTTTTTTTTTTTTTTAAATATATTTTATTGATTTTTGACAGAGAGGAAGGGAGAGAGAGAGCTAGAAACGTCGATGAGAGAGAAACATCGACCAGCTGCCTCTTGCACACCCCATACCGGGGATGTGCCCGCAATCAATGTACATGCCCTTGACCGGAATCGAACCCGGGACCTTTCAGTCTGCAGACTGATGCTCTACCACTGAGCCAAACCGGCTTCGGCAAGAGAGAAGTATTCTTAGTCATTGTTTTTCCTTTAGGTTCTTTATTAAATTTTTTTTTTTTTTTTACAGAGAGGAAGGGAGATAGAAACATCGATGAGAGAGAAACATCGATCAGCTGCCTCCTGTACACCCCCTACTGGGGATGTGCCCGTAACCAAGGTACATGCCCGTGACCGGAATCGAACCTGGGACCTTTGAGTTCGCAGGCCGATGCTCTTTATCCACTGAGCCAAACCGGTTTCGGTTTTATTAATTTTCTTAATATTTATTAAGCAATTCTACTCACCTAAGCAATAAAAAGTTTTGTTATAATTACATACCAAAGTCCTTTGAACAATTGTTATTGATTCTAGATTGCAAATAGATGTTATAAATAATTGCTTATGTTTCCCGCTAGTGGAGTTCATAATGTAACTTACCCATTCATTTATTGTGTTATTAGAATAGATGCGTTTGATATTTTGATTATTTGTAAATTGTTAAAACAAATGTTATTTTGTCATTTTCTCCTAAAGGTTTCTAAGAGCTCACCCAGTGAGTCAAACAGTGGTGTCGCTAACAGTAGTGTGGAACAACAGCTGAGCCTTTTGCCATCTTCATCAGTACTCAGTCAGCATACAGCCCATGTTGAAGAACAAAGGGATCAAGTGTCAAACCAGGATGCTACACTCAATAAGAAATCTATGAAAATAAGTAATAGACTGTGTTACCCAAAATATACATCTAAAGTACAAAAAGTTAAAAGTAAATCCCAAAGTATTAAAAAATCTTGGTGTTCAAATTTTCAGAAGTTAGGAACCACTATTAAAAAGGACTTAACGTTCTGTTATTCATGCCAGTTATTCTGCCAGAAAAAATACAGCTTTGGCGGAGAGTCCTTAGCAACCCAAGGAATTTCTAATTGGAAAAAAACTCTGAAAAATTTCACAAAGCATGAAAAAAGTATAATGCATTTGAAGTCATTGCAATTTTGGAGGGAATACCAGTTTTGTGATGAAGGTGTCAGTGACAATTTATCTAATCATTCAAAAGAGATGGAAGGAAATAAAAAGTACCTAAAGCTTATCATTGAAAATATTTTATTTCTTGGAAAGCAGTGTTTACCCCTAAGAGGGAAGGACCAATCTATTTCATCTGTGAATAAAGGCCATTTTTTAGAATTGTTAGAAATCAGAGCAAAAGATAAAGGAGAAGAAATATTTAGACTTATGAATTCACAAGTTGATTTCTATAATAGTACACAAATTCAAAATGATATTATTGACATAATAAAGACTGAAATGTTACAAGATATTGTGAATGAGATCAATGTCTCCTCAGCTTTTTCAGTAATATGTGATGAGGTAACTGATAGTGCCACTACAGAACAGCTTTCAATTTGTGTAAGATACCCAGAAAAAACGTCAAAGGCTATCATAATTAAAGAAAGATTCTTGGGTTTCATAGATGTTGAAGAGATGTCCGGAACCAGCTTACACAAGACTATCACAACTTACCTGCAGCAAATTGGAGTTGATATAAGTAAAGTAAGAGGCCAGGCCTATGACAGTACTACTAATTTGAGGGGGAAATTTAATAAAAGTGCAGCAGAATTCAAGAAGGAAGAGCCAAGAGCTTTATACGTACATTGTTATGCCCATTTTTTGGACTTAGCAGTAATTAGGTTTTGTAAAGAAGTAAAAGAACTCCGAAGAGCTCTAAATACTCTGAGTTCTTTGTTCAACACTATTCCTATGTCTAGGGAAATGTCTGCAAATTTTCAAAAGATACGTAAGCTAAGTCAAAACAAAACATGCAAGAAACATATATCACAATCATGTTGGACACTCCATGATCATACATTACTGTCTGTGATTGAGGGCCTTCCAGACATTATTGAAACATTGGAATTCGTATCAAGCCATTCTTCTAACACAAGTTTGGCTGATGAATTGAGCGATTTACTGACATCGGTATCCAAATTTGAATTTATTTTTTGTTTGAAATTTCTTTATCGAGTATTAAGTGTTATAGGAATTCTTTCCAAAGAACTTCGAAGTGAAACCATAGACATTTTTTCTTTGTCTTCAAAAATAGAAGCAATTTTGGAATGTTTATCATCTGAAAGAAATGATGTCTGTTTCAAAATGTTCTGGGAGGAAGCAGAAGAAATTTGTCAAAAAATAACCTGTAAAGGTTTTGAAGTTGAAAGACCTTTTCATAAAAGAAGAAAAATTCAGGAAACAAGAGCTCTTAGCAATTCAGACAATATGTTTTTTCCTACTTCAACAGAAGAACAATGTAAAATTGGCATTTATTACCAGGGATTAGATACTATATTACAGAATTTAAAAATGTATTTTTCAGAATTTGATTATTGCAAAGTGAAGCAAATTTCAGAACTATTACTAAAATGGAATGAACCATTAAATGAAGCAACAGCCAAACATGTCCAAGAATTTTATAAACTTGATGCAGACATCATTCCAGAACTTAGATTTTATCGGCAATATGCAAAGCTCAACTTTGTCATAGATGATCATATCAATTTCAGCAACCTTGGCTATTTATTTATTCAGCATGGTCTTCATAACAATATTCCTTGCATATCAAAGCTATTACATATTGCTTTGTCTTGGCCAATCACTTCAGCAAGTGTTGAAAATTCATTTTCTGTACTGCCTCGTCTTAAAACATATTTATGTAATTCCATGGGACAAGAGAAGCTTAGTGGCTTGGCCCTAATGGCTGTTGAACAGGAATTAGTAAATAAATTGCTGGAGCCTGAAAGACTCAATGAAATTGTGGAGAAGTTTATACATCAGTTGAAGGAAATATAGTATTTGCTTAATGAATTTACCTGAGTTTCATGTTTCTATTAGAATATAATGTTTTTTATTTCAAATGTTTGTCTAAGAAAAATTTATTTTTAACTTGTCTTTTTCACTTTACATGGTATTTTTGAGATTGTTTCATGTCAACACAAAGAATTTCCTGATTCTTTCTGTACAGCTGCTCAGAATTGTATAAATGTGCCATGATATATTGGAATACTTCCTTCTAAACAGATATGTTAAGTCTGTTGTGTTAGTATAAATAATGCTTCATTTAGTAACTTTGCACATAAGTCATGTTGCATATTAGTAAGTTACTATAAGATAAAATGTTAAGTTAGAATTACTAGGTCAAAAGATTTGTGCATTCTTTATTTTTGATTGGCACATAGCTTTCTACAAGGATTATGCCAATTTACAGTCCTGCCAACAATATGAGTCAAATATTTTTATTTTTGCTGACCCATTAGTTGAATAAAGTTATATTAATCTCTGGAGATTAAATGAGTGGAATTTTGTACTTTCACTTAAGAATAAGGTTGGGTATGTGCTTGAGCAATTTGTGTATCCTTTTCTGTGAACTGTTAACATTTAAATATTAAAACCAAATGTTGTTGTGTTTTTGCATGAAACCCTGACAGAGTAGTCCACACAGTCCCAAAATAAGATTAGGTAGTGAAAAACTCAAAAGCAGGTATAAGGCCTGAATGGTATTGGCTGTCTGTATTGGTCATGGAGGAAAAGAAGTGGGATGTCTGATGGCCTTGAGAATAGGTCCCCCAAATCAACAGCTTTCCATTGGAGAGCATGCAGGCCAATTTGGAAATAGCTAAAACAGGAAAGGTTCCTCAAGATGCCAATTTGCAGGTGAATTTAAGGGGACTGAAGATGTTGCAATAGGCTAGGTCCTTATGAACTCTTTAAACTAATCTAAGCTTCATTCCAAAACAAAATCCATTTAAGGAGAAACTGCTGGCTGTAGATACCAAATTGAAAAGGACAGGCAGAGACAATAGGAAAGACAAGATGCATTTTGAAGCGAGGGAGAGAAGACAAGGAAGCAGATGTCAATAAAAATACTAGTAATAGGATTTCTTGAACCTTGAAGCTAGAAAAGTTGTTCTGTCCCTTTCCCTCCATTCTAAAGGAGTGAATGGGTTTCATATAAAAGTGAACAGAAAAGAATTGTGGCTCAGCTGGCCTATGAACCAGAAGGTCATGGTTTTATTCCTGGTCAGGGTATATGTCTGGGTTGGCGTGAAGGAGGCAGCTAATCAATATTTCTCTCTCTACCCATCTCCCTTCCTCTCTTAAATCATTGATGTGATCTTTTGTGACTGGATTCATCTGTTGTAGCATATATCACCATTTTATCCCTTTTTACAGCTAATATTCCATTGTTTGGATATTTACTGGTAATTTGCTTACCCATTTGTCAGTTCATGGACATCTGAGTTGTTCCCACCTTTTCAGTAGTATGGTAAACATTCACATATTTTTGTGTGAGCATGTTTTTGTTTCAGGTGTTGGAACTGCTGAATCATACAAAGGGTAATGGTTTGAGCAACTATCAGTTTTTCAAGCTGGCTGATACCATTTTAAATTCCCATCAGTAGTGCAAGGATTCCAATTTCTCCACATCCTTCCCAATACTTATTTGATTTTATTCTAGGCACTAGAGGCCCAATGCATGAAGATTTGTGCAAGGATGAGCCTTCTTTTCCCCTGGCTGCCAGCACCACCTTTGCTCCGGCCAAACCAGCCTTTCTGCTTTCCCACACTGCCCAAAGGCCCCAAACGGCTGGGGTGGTGTGGAAAGCCTGCATCATCACCATAGCATCCTACTCTACCCCCAGCCATTTTTTTGTTGAGTTAATTTGCATACTCACTCGTGATTGGCTGGTGGGTGTCATGAAGGCACCGTCAATTTGCATCTTACTCTTTTATTAGTGTAGATGTTAGTGGGTGTTGATTTCCCCCGGCCCAGCTTTACTCAAGCTTAATTGACAGAACTGTTAAGACATTTAAAGTGTACATTGTGATTTGATAGTTATGTGTTGTTTAATGACAGGGACACATTTTTAGAAATGTGTTGTTAGATGATTCCACGGTTGTACAAACATCAGTATTCTGTAAGCTTAGATAGCATGTACTATAACTACAGAACAAGATTAAACCAAGCACAAGAAGAAAAAGATGCATTTAAGATGCAGTAAACACAAGATGAGGTTGCTCCTGGTATAATATGGCATATTGTTTGACAGCAAGTTTTTTTTTTTTAAGAGAGTACACTTTAAAATAACAAAAGTATAGTAAATACGGCAGTTACAAATATTATGTAATGTACATAATCATATGTACTATACTATTACACAAATGGCAGCACAGGTTTGTTTATAGCATCATCACCAGAGGTAATATGTATGATAGCACCCCTTTGTCACTAAATAAGGGATTTTTCAGTTCCATTAATCTTATGAGACCATTGTATCTGCCACCCATTATTGGATGAAACCAAATCACATGAATATAAATTGTGAAAGCTCCCATCACTTCTGAGAACACTCAAATTCTCTTGGCAAATTTCAATTCTACGATGCACTATTAACTGTAGTTACATACTTTCATCTTACAGCTGAATTTTGAATTGTCATCTCATGGCTTTGAATTGCATTTTCCTACTGGCTGATGTCATCTTAAAATTTCTATTCAAATCCTTGGCCTAATTTTTTAATATTTTTTTTTACAGAGAGGGAGCTGGAAACATTGATGAGAAACATCAATCAGCTGCCTCCTTCACCCCCCCCTACTGGGGATGTGCAGCAGCCAAGGTACATGCCCTTGACCAGAATCAAACCTGGGACCCTTCAATCCCCAGGCCAATCCTCTATCCACTGAGCCAAACCGGTTTGGGCATAATTGGGGTTTTAAGTTGATAGAAGTCTCCAGAATTCTTAAGAATCCTTTGCCAAACACAGGATTGTGAAGATTTCTTCCCCCCGCCTCCCAAAGTACTTATTTTCATTGCTACATTTGGATACCTGAACCATTTTTTTCATTGTGGTAGAGGCCATATGAATCTTTGGATCAGTTTACCAATGTTCATAATACTGCCCATATTCTTACAACAGGTTTTCCCATTTGGATCTTTAGAATTTCTTCCAAGTCATCCACTCTTTTATATTCAAGCGCCATACTCCATCTCGCCTCAGGTATTTAGAATTCAACCCATTTTTGGTGCAATACTTTACATGACCCCATATATCATTAAAATCTATGGGCTTGGGAAGTGTAGGGGGGAAAAAAAAATCTATTTCTAATTTTCTCCTGAAGACTCTGGTCTAAAACCTTACCAAAATTAACATGTCTCTGTACTATAAAATATTAAACTCTTGCTGAAACCAGTTTGGCTCAGTGGATAGATCATCTGCCTCCAGGTTCGATTCCGGTCAAGGGCCTGTACCTTGGTTGCAGGCACATACCCAGGAGAGGGAGTGTGCACAAAGCAACTGGTTAATGTTTCTCTCTCGTTTTTAGCTCTCTATCCTCCCTTCCTCCTCTCTGTAAAAAATCAATAAAATATATTTAAAATAAAAATATATAAATTTTTAGATCTAATTACATAACTAGGTAGTTCTCAACTTTGTTGACTTTGAACCCTGAATGACTGATTTGGAAATGTGATTAAAAGAAGCCTGATAGGTGGTTAATCTCGCCCAGTACGCCAAGGTTACAGGATAGAACCATGGTCAGGGAACATACAAGAATCAATTGTTTCTCACTAAAAATAAAAAATGAAAACAAATTAAAATGTCCAGCCCAGGAAGATGGCTTAGTTGGTTTGAGTGTCACCCCCCATATACCAAAAGGCTGTGGTTCAATTCCTCCCTCATCAGGGCACATACAGAAAGCAACCAATTGTTCTTAGGTGAACACTCCTCTCCTTTCCCCTCTTAATAACCATGTCCTTGGGTATTTAAAAAGTAAATTATCTTGCTGTCCAAATCAGGTTGGTTAGGACAGAAGTGCCATCTAATTGATTAGTAATTAAAAGGTTGAAGGAGCTTCTGCCAAAAAAGCTTTAAGAAAGTCTTGAATCATATACAGAGTGCCCAGATGATATCTGAACACATAATCTGGCCCCACTATGTGTGTGCACGTGCATGAATTCCTGCATTGGGTGGGGTCCAGCCAGCCAGGCCAGGGGGGAGACACGGGCAGTTGGCAGACTTGTCTGCTGGTCAAACTCCTGGTCAAAAGGACAATTGGCATATTAGCCTTTTATTATATAAAATATAGAGTGGCCATATTATTATGCTTTCAGAGATAATAATTTGGCCACTCAGTGTATATTCTGTTCTATGTCTAGAATACAGTAAAACTCTTTAAATCACCTAGAAACAAGTTCATGACAGGAAAATTCTAGAAAATTAAGAGTCCTATTTAAAAACAATAAAAGGATAGTTTTTAAAAAAAAATATATTTTATTGATTTTTTACAGAGAAGAAGAGAGAGGGATATAGAATTAGAAACATCGATGAGAATCATCGTTCAGTTGCCTCTTGCACATCCCTTACTGAGGATGTGCCTGCAACCAAGGTATACGCCGTTGACCAGAATTGAACCTGGGACCTTTCATTCCCTAGGCTGTAGAAGTCTTTATTAACAATTGGATTGTTCATTCCTCTCTGCCCTCTTCTTCACTGGTTTCCAGGACACAGTTCACTTGATCCTGCCAATAAAAGGAAACAATTACTTCCCAAACATGTAAAAATCAGTTATCAAGTTTTTTAGCACCACCAAGTAAACTTCCTAATAACAAGGAAATATTAATACTGGAATGTGGTATCAATAATATTTAAAAGTCTATATAATATAAACTTTACTTAAGATGTTGATTGTTTAGATTTCATACTGATTTTTATGGGCCTTTAAAACTGAGTGATAGCTATCTAAACATGTAATTTATGAAATGAGGTTAGTAAGCTACTATCCACAGGCACCTTTTTATAATTTTATTGTATACAGCCATGTCCATTTGTTTACACAGTCTGATTGCTTTCCAGCTATACAGCAGAGTTGAGTTACACTTTAAAATTGCCAACCATTCAAATAGATCATTATTTTGTTCTCCATCTATTTTCAATTATAGAAGACCAATCCCACCATGTACTTATATACAATAGATGAAAAATAAATAGGGAACTTCAAATTTTCTGAATCCACATCTGCATGGTGCTATGGACAGAGGTAAATACATATACATATATATGTATTCATATACTTTTTAATTGAAAACTGTGAATTCCGTAAAAACACTATTTCCTGCCCTGGCTGGTTTGGCTCAGTAGCATTCACCTGTGGACTGAAAGATCCCAGGTTGATTCCAACCAAGGACACAAAGCTGGGTTGTGGGTTCAATCCCCAGTATGGGGTGTGCAAGAGGCAACCAATCAATTATTCTCTCTCATCATTGATGTTTCTCTCTCTATCCCTC